GGACATTGCGCTTACAAGGCAGATAGCAGAACCACTGAGCTAAATCCCTGGTCCCAATAAAACAGATTTTAGCTTAAGAAAAAACAAGTTTTTTTTCTTGAGTGAGAAGGCATATAAAGTGGTCTGTTTATACCCCTTTTAGCACTTGGATTCCCTGGAGCACCTCTTGTCAGTGGGAAAGCTGTTGATCTAATGATTTCAGCCAGGATCAGAGTGTGATAAGCTGGGTTTGGCCTTAAAGGTTCAAAGAATGAGCATTTCATTCACATGGAAGGTGCTGATATTCCCTTCATCCTGAGGTACACACAGGTATCAGATACACCAACTCTATGATATTGGTCAGTTATATGCTCAGAATTTGATGAAAAGTTAAGGGGGGGATCGCGAGAGGAAAAAAAGACAGAAGAAGAAATCAATGAATTTATAAATCAGGGAATCATTGCTTATTTCAGATGGGTATTTAGTACTTTAAATATTTGTTTTGTTTAAAGGGATAATGTGAAGTTTACAAAAAAGCAGTGCTTTCTATTCAAGTGCTCTTAGCACTTTACACTTATTTATCCTCACAATAATTTCAGCTACGTATTGAAAAGGTGAAAACTGAGGCACAGAGGAGTTAAGTAATTTACCCAAGATCACACATGAATACTAAAAGGCACAAGCACCAGGATTTAATCTACATTTTTGTGACTTTAGTTGGTATGCTCTGCTACCTCTAGAATATGGTGGGGATCAAGAATGGGAAAATTAGCAGTTCAGTAAGATGCTATTTGGGGCTCATTATTTAGTCACTTGGAAATGTTGTAAATAATCAAAATAACATTGTAGACATTACAGCTCCATGTTTGTGTCCCTAGAGAGACTTCTCTCTGTGCTCACTATAGATGAAGAGAAATTACTACCAAATAAGAGCCTGTTCAATCATAGGAGACCCAATTTGGAAAAGCAGATTTTGAATTTCAGCTTACAAACAGTGAATTTAATTTAGAAGAGCAGCAAAAGGATAAAAGGATAACACACCCAGGCAACCATGTAATTTATAATTCTGCATTTATTAAATCAATTCAATGTGTTACCTTTCTCATAGCCTGCAGTATTTCATTTTTATTTTGGCTGAAGTAAATCTAGGATAGGAGGAAATAGAGAAAAGGAGAGAGACAGTAGCAGTTCTTCATATGCATTCCGCATGGCTATCTGTTTCTTCTTTGTCAGCATCCCTGTTTCCATCCTCTGCTTTCTTTGTATTCTACATTCTTAGTTATCTTGTTCTGTGCTGGAGCTTCTCTGTAATAGTAACAATGACAGTAACTCTGTACTAGTAACTGTAACATCTCTAAGATTAAAGTGAGAAGCCCCAACAACTTGTTAGATACTGTCAAGTGACTATTCTGAAGACATTTTCACCCCAATGGACCTAAAACCCAAAAGCATCACAGTACTTTCCAAAAATTATTTCCATGGTTCCCATGACATTAAATGGTGTTCCATCTTTCCTAGCCACTGGACTTTGATATAACAAAGTTCTCATTCATTCCTTCCTTTCTCTACCACTTGCGTTGAAATAGTCTCCAAGTTTTATGAGTTTTACCGCTTACAGCCTCTTTCTACTTCCCTAACCACTTCATCGGTTCATATTTTCATTATCTCTTTCTGGGATTATTACAATCCCCTCTCCTACTGATCTATCTGATTCCAGTGTCTCTCTCCTCTAAACACTCCATCCCATTGCAGCAAGATATAATGCTAAAATACCAAAGCGCAGTGCAGAGCTTTGGTACTCCCCTTGGAAAGTTATAGTAATTTTCAATGTGTATTGGAATATAAGTCTAAACTCTTTCCTACAGTGGTTAAATTTACTGTTTGTCTTCCCTTCCAAGTTTCCTTCAGCTATGGCCTAGTCTTTTCATGTCTCCCCTTTCTGTCCCTCCCAGTAACTTATTTATTTAATTTTTTTTTTGAGACAGGGTCTCACTAGGTAGTTGAGGTTGACCTGGATCTCACTATGTAGCCCAGGCTGGTTTCAAACTCACAGCAATCCTCCTGCCTCAGCCTCCTGAGTGCTGGGATTACAGGCGTGCACCACCATGCCGCCCTCCCAGTCTATCTGATTCCAGTGTCTCTCTCCTCTAAACACTCCATCCCATTGCAGCAAGATATAATGCTAAAATACCAAAGCGCAGTGCAGAGCTTTGGTACTCCCCTTGGAAAGTTATAGTAATTTTCAATGTGTATTGGAATATAAGTCTAAACTCTTTCCTACAGTGGTTAAATTTACTGTTTGTCTTCCCTTCCAAGTTTCCTTCAGCTATGGCCTAGTCTTTTCATGTCTCCCCTTTCTGTCCCTCCCAGTAACTTATTTATTTAATTTTTTTTTTGAGACAGGGTCTCACTAGGTAGTTGAGGTTGACCTGGATCTCACTATGTAGCCCAGGCTGGTTTCAAACTCACAGCAATCCTCCTGCCTCAGCCTCCTGAGTGCTGGGATTACAGGCGTGCACCACCATGCCCGGCCCTCCCAGTAATTTCAAACACAGTGTTCCCCTTGTAGAAAAGTTCATCTACCAAGTAAACAAAAGGATGCTGCCCATAGAAAAGATGAAATTTAACTTTAAATAGCAAATAGGTATTTTAATTAGCAGGTCTTGGTGACATTTTAAAGAGGAATTTGACTGACATGATTGAAAAAACTTAATCCAAGAAAGGAAGGAGAGAAAAGATGACTGAGAGATACTGAAGAAACTGTTTCCTTAAGAATTTGAGATGAAGCAATGTCTAATTCAGGGATATTCAGTTCAGAGTTTGTAGGCAGTTTTCAGACAGTAGCCAGTATCTCTCTTCTCATGCTCTTATGGATAATCTGAGAGTATTAGAAACTGTTCCATCAAATACTGTCCTTGCTTGCTTGCTTCTAAGCCATTTGCTTAGTAACTCTAGTCTTCTAGAAGGAAAATTGATGTTGAGGGCTGTCCTGGCAGCTCTGTAGGAATTCATTAAGTGCCCCACATTTACAGGCTCCATTCCTGAGGAGTTCACAGTGTCCATATCAATTAGTTGGCAGGGCTCTGTGTACCCAAAATGGGCTTTTATGCAGTGAAAGTGGCAGTAGGCCAGCACCAGTTCCCCCCGTGATAAACTGTACGTTCCAGTCCCCATGGTGTCCGTAGACACCATGTACTTTTCAAGAGGCCTGGCTCTAAAGCTTCAGCCATTAGTTCACATTGGCGCTCTGCAGTGCAGGAATCACCTCCAGGATTATACAAAGGGATGCTACTCTTTCAAGTCATATTCTCTTGAACATTGTTCTCCTGCCTATGTGCCTCTCCCTTAATAATAAATAGCTTTGTTGAGTGCATGTACTGTGCCTGATTCTGTATGTTTCTATGTGCATACATTTGGGTTTTTTTTCCCCCTGATGAAATGAAATTACAATTATGGTTCCCTTTTTGCATATGAGCAGATGAAGACTTAGAGCAAGATGCTGAATTTTAAGGTCATAAAGCTTGTTACTGGCAGAGTACTTGTAAACTGGGACTTGATCTGGTATTTTCTATAGTCAGAGTCTGCTTGCAAGCACCAGGAAGTACTGTTTCCACTTAGAGTATTCAGCAAGACTACAGACAAATGACTTGCACTGGAGTAGGTTTAGAATGTCTTAAAAATATTTTGACAGATATTAACAAAATTTAGTAAATGACAAGACCAGTTGTATGCTTCCCTTTTCTTGCTCTCATTATTTCTCCATGCCAGTAAATGCTTCCAGCTATGCATATAAGTACTAGCATTTGGAAGAGCAGTGGTTTTGCAGAGGCTCGGCAAAATTTCCCCATTTTTAATGTCAGCTTTCTACCCGTTTGTTCCCACCCCACTTCACCGCTATCAGCACTGGTCACAAATGTGAAGCTAAGAGAACACAGCTATCTGCTAGCACAAAATGCTCCTGGAGTTCTCCGACAACATCTCATTCTCATAGGAGGTACAGCGAAGCAGGGTCAGTTTATTGTTCAAAGCCTGTTGTCTTATTTCCTGGATGACCTATGTAATTTCATCAATATTCTCGTTAATCCCAATACTTATCTCTCTCCCTCTCCATCTCTGTCCCTTTGTGTCTCCATCTTTGTCTTTGTCTTTCTGTTATGCACCCATACATACATTTTTCCTTATTAATTGTACCTTGGAGCTATTTGCCTGAGACACTTTTATTTATTTATTTGTGTGTGTATGTGTGTGTGTGTGTGTGTGTGTGTTGTGTGTGTGTGTGTGTGTGTGTGTGCACGTGCTGGGGATCGAACTGGGGACCTTGCGCTTGTGAGGCAGGTGCGAAATCACAGAGCTAAACGCCCGGCCCATGAGACACTTTTAGATAGGACATAATGGCTCTTATACAGTTGGTACTCTGGGAAGAGAATAGTCACTTACAGTAGTTAGTATATACTCATTGAGTTGGTGCTAGAATGTTTCTGATATAAATTAGATAAGGAATCAAGTGGCCCTGAATCAAAGGCCCTCTTTTTCAGCTCATATGGCCAACCTGATCCTGAAATGTTTATTGTTTGTGTCTTTTACTCAGGTGTAGTTACTCATATCAATCTGTCACAACAAACTACTTAGGATACCCCCTGATTTCTTTCAGAATCTATCCTTTTCCCTTCATGGCTGTCTTGAGAATAAAGTAAATATGTACATATTCCTCTCACTTGGTCATGATCTAAAAACTCAAAAGGAACTATCTGCTAGAAAGTTTGAGGATGCCTGTCCAGTTCTGCACATTCCATAGAATTATTTTATAGTCATGTTTATGTCGGTAACCTCAATAACCCTGAAGGTTGAACCTTCCTATTTTGGCAGCTCTTACCAGTAAGTCACCCAGAAACCAACCATTCCTAGCAAGATTGGTTTCAGCTTACAGCTTTCCAGAAAAGCCTCCTTTGATTTAGGAAAGAGGATAGCATTCCTTGATTTTGTTGCCTACCCATCATTATCACTGCTGTTGTCCTCCCCAGGGATACAACAGTCATCAGCCACTCTCTGAACACAAGCTATGACACAGCCCTAGAAGCTCGCATCCAGAAAGAGGAGGAAGAAATCTTTGTGGCCAACAAGCGTTGTCTGGACATGGAGGGCAGGTAAAATATTGATCTGAATGCTGATGGATCTGAGAAGGTATAGAGATGGTATAGAGACACATAGCTCAGTAGGGAAGGATCAGCATCTTTATGCCAAACTGGGGAGCCAGATCATGGAGACTTCCCCCACCACCTTAACTCCTATTAGCCTGTTACTTAGTGTTTGAGATATGTTGACCTTTATCTTGATCATTACTACTATGAAATTCCAAATAGAGTTGCTGTCCACTGGCCTTCCAACTTGCTTTCCATTTACTTTCTGCCAGAGCTGAATTGGTGATATTTTTACCATGATGTATTCTATCTAGAACTACCTTTTGTTCTAGAACTACCTCTACACAGTGAACCTCTCATCCATTCACATTGAAAGGTGGAGCACCTGATGATCGGGATCATTGACTTACTACTTGAAGGTGGTGGTTCATCAGCGGTTGCTTTTCTCATATGCAGCAGTTCTTTTTGCCAAGGCTTTACTTTGATCTTGAAAAGTAAAAGCAGCATTTTCTGGATGCTCTGTTGTATCCATTTGGGTGCACAGAAGAACATTTTTAAAAACCTGCAACAAAATTCCTTGTCTTCAGCTCAGAATGAACTAGACCCCTGCTTAGTTGAAAAGATAAAGGATGCTCGTCTAGGTAGGCTGTAACACTAGAACACAGAGAAAACATTAAAAATTTTGTATGCTCTTTGTCTTTGACTGCTAGGATCAAGACCCTCCATGCTCAGATTATTGAGAAGGATGCCATGATCAAAGTACTCCAGCAACGCTCCCGGAAGGAAACGAGTAAGACAGAGCAGTTGTCATCCATGCGGCCAGCAAAGTCTCTGATGTCCATTTCCAATGCTAGCTCAGGCTTGCTCTCCCACTCATCCACCCTGACTGGAGTACCCATCATGGAAGAGAAGAGAGATGACAAGAGCTGGAAGGGGAGCCTAGGTAATGGCAGCAAAAGGAAGATCATGGTGACACATTTGAAGTGTTCCATACACAAAAGAAAGGGGGTAGTGGTTGAGATTCTAGAGAGGAAGATGTACCACATTGGGTTTTTGTCTTCCTGAGCGTCTAACTGCATATCCAGGAGCTCTTCCACCCTGTGAGATCTCATGGTGAAAACACTGAAAAAAAAAAAAAGAACCCTGAGATCTATTTGGGCAGAAAGGAAGATAAATTTCAAATAAAAATTTCTTAGATTTGGCCTGTGCCATGTGGGACCTTTGTCCAAAGCCCATGTAAGCCTTCATGTCATTCAAAATTTCAAAATTCCAGTATTTGTGTTCCCTCCTCCCCTATAATAGGAGGACCAAGAGTTCTTATTAAGCTAAATGGAGCCTAGTGGCAGGGATTTGCTACCAGAATATTGTGATATTGGAACAGAATGTACTTTTTATTCCATTCTTGTCCATTTTGTCCCCTTTAATCAAAACCTCAAGAAACATTGTAGAAATTATGAGGCATATTTTTAGAGCCCGAGGAAGCATGCTATACTTATGTGTGTATAATTTTATTTTCACTCTTTTGTAATTTTTAATACTTTTCTTGGTCCTTTTAGCATCCTTTCATTAGAATAAACATTTAGGGGAGCTGGTCATGGTCAGAAGGTCTTATTCCACAATTATTAGCATACGCATGTGTCCACAGACTTCTTTTCCCATCCCTGATCCTTTGTTGCTCTCTGGTAATATTTGGTGTTGATTATAGATGAAAGCATGTAGAAAATTCTGACAATCCATTGGAACTCAGTCATTTAAAAAATAAAACAGATACAGAGGACACATATGGTTTAATATGTAGTGCTGCGATTTGAACAATGAGGAACAGAAGGGATCTTCCTAGCTCCAAAGCAACTTTTTTTTTTAGCTTGGGTGGTGCCTGATTCCTGGTCCAGTGGAGACAAAAATAAAGAATTGAGACCCATTCAAATTTCTCCTAAACTTCGACAAGGGATAATAGCCAATCATGTGTCTAGATTGAAATCACCAATTGGTTTCCTCCTTCCTTTTTCTCCTTCATTTGTAGGTATTCTCCTGGGTGGAGACTACCATGTAGAGTCTGTCTCATCCACCCCTTCACCTGTGCCTCCCTCTACTCCCCTGCTCTCTGCTCACTGCAAGACAGGAAGCCGAGACTGTAGCACTCAAACTGAACGTGGAACGGAGCCCAACAAAACTGGAGCTGTTGCTCCCATATCTGTTCCTGCTCCAGTTGCTGCTGCCGCCACTGCTGCAACCATCACTGTCACTGCTGCCACCAACACTGCCACTGCTGCCACCAACACCATTACTATGGTAGCTGCTGCCCCAGTTGCTGTTGCCACTGTTGCTGCTGCTGTTGCTGCTGCCCCATCTCCAGCAACTTCTGCTATTGCTGCTGCTGTTTCTCCAGCTGCTGCTGCTCAGATTCCAGCTGCAGCATCTGCTGCTGTTGCTCCTGCTGCTGCTATTCAGGTTGCTCCAGCTGCTCTGGCTCCAGTTCCAGCTCCAGCTCCAGTTCCAACAGTGGCTCAGCCTTCTGCTCAGGCTCAGACTCAGGCACCAACTCCAGCTCCGGCTGCAGCTCCTATTCCAACTCCAGCTGCAACTCCAGCTTTGGCTCAGATTGAGGCTCCTGCAAGTCCAGCTAACAGTGGTTCGGGAACATATCATTTTTCTGTACCAAGTTTGACCTGCAATCCAGAAAACACAGGTAATAAGCATTCTCTGTAGCAAGCATCTTTCAGTTCTGCCCTCAGATACAGATTTGTTTCCTGGGCTACCATGCCCCATGCCCTGTAATGAGGCCACAGGATTGTAAGTTCAATGCAAGTCTGGGCAACTTGGCAAGATCCTGCCTCAAAGTAAAAAGTAGAAAATAAAAATGGCTGGAATTGTAGCTCAGTGGTAAGAATGTCCTGACAATCCATCCCTAGTTCCAGAAAAAAAAAAGTAACGAAACCAAACAAACAAAAAAACAGATTTTTTTGTTAGTGCCTACCATTTAGATAGAGTTGTTCATTGGGACTGAGTTTTTCGTGTTCCAAAGGGATTTGTCAGAGAGAAGATTCCATAGATGACTTCTTTGTATTTGCTGAGATGGGAACAGGCATGAGAGATTCTTCTTCCAATAAAGTAAAGGGTGCAGGTAGCAGGCAAGTCTAACTTTACATTGGATTCATGGTGGTTCTAACATTGTATTTGTAGGCGATAAGTTTTTACTTTGTCCTAACATGCCCCCCCGCCTTTATTTCCCTATAGATGGTCCTGTCTTGCACTCCAGTGCTTTGGAAAGAAAAACTCCTATTCAGATCCTGGGACAGGAGCCTGATGCAGAGATGGTAGAATATCTCATCTAAATGGCCCAAGCAAGAGCTGCAGTTTATCAGCAAGAATGCTTTTAATCATATTCCCTTTTTGTTTGTTCTTATTTCAAGGGTGAAGACAAGGGTTGGGGGAGGGGATTTTTTAAAGGGGACTTTTTATTGGAACAATATAATGCTTAAGTAATACCATATGAACTCCAGTCTATTCTGATATACATAGGGAATACCTCTAAAAGATAGATTAATCAGAATGTGCTCTGAAGTTTACTGTTGGGGTTTATATACTGGGACAGTTAACAAGCAGATAAACATTGATGTTTTCAATGTGCTTAAATTTGTTTCAGTTTTTCTATTTGAATCATTTTTACTGAAGAGCACAGTATGTGTGGAACACAGTGTATAATATGTAGTGTGGAAGTGGGAAGCCAGAGAGAGTTTAAGTGTGTGTTCCCTTTGTCTAGTTACTATCTAGACAGCAGCCACAGAAAGCTCTCATCTCAGGCTCATGCAAAGGAATAGTTTTAAGAACTGTGTAAGCCGGAGCAAAGGTAGGGAGTATTGGAATATGAAAGGGTGCTGGAGCTCATTTTCCCTCCCAATGGCCCAGCTACCCTCACCCTAGTGGACTACATTTATCTTCATTTCAGTGGTGCTTCTCAAGTGGATTCTTTTGATTCCCTCCTGGAGGTTCATATATCCATATTTGTACTCTGGAATAATTTATGCATTTGGATAATTAATATATTGTCTTCAGATGCTAGGGAGAGTAAATTACCTGAGCGATGCACAACTTCCTCTCTTGTAGAGAGTTAGGCATCAGAGGCCTTGATTGAGAGTTGCATGAGCTGCTGCCACATGCAGACTTCTGTAGTTGGGTGTAGCCATGAGCACACCTCACTTGCCTTTTCTAAGACCAGTTGGCCTAGTGTTTATTTCTTCTAGGACGCACATTCACAGGCTTCATCACCAGTTTCCAATGGCCAGTCATTTGCAAAACAAGAAAGCATTTTTGCTGACAGGTTGAATGCATTGAATTTCTGATGACTACTTTAAAATAAGTCCTCTGATTAATTTTCTCCAATTCTTAGCATGTCTTAAAAGGCATATGTGACTGTCACCCCTAAGGGAGTAGCATCAGAAGTCCAAAGTACTATGCTGCAGTCAGGAGAGTGGCTGGTTGCAGCTGGCTCCTCAGCTACCTCTTTTCACCACCAATGATTCCATCTTGGAATCCCTTTGGGAAGCAGTGAGAATATACATGTGGGTGGGGACCAGAGGAGGCTTTAGCCATAGACTTGCTGTAGGGCTGCCTCCAAGGTGTTCCAGAGGGATGCAAGTTGCCACAGGTCCTTGCCCTGTGTCACCTCTCTGCCCCTCATTAAAGTGACAAATCTATAGATAGTGTCATTAACATCAATTTCCAGGTGTTTAGGGAGGGTAAAGGGAGTAGAGTCATTAGATAAGGGTGGGGGGAGTAGAGGTTTTTGTCATGATTTAGTTAGAAACCAGATTAATAGAAGAGTAGCCTGATAGATTATGTCATGATCCATAATGGCAGGAAGGAACTTTAGCAATATAGTCCTATCTCCTAATTTTTTTTAATTATTTTTTATTTTATTTTTTCAGCTTTAATTGAATTTATTGGTACAGTTTAGGGATACAGTACAGTTACATTCATTGTTGGGATCTTGTACCTTTACATGACAGGTCTTGGTTCTCATTTTTCCCCTTACCCCTGCCCTCCCTTCACCCTCTCCTGCCCTCCCGATCTACAAACACTTTATTTTCATCTTTTCATTATCTCACATTTAATTTTAGTGATGAGGAATATGAGACTTGGAGAGGGTCAATAACTTTGTGAAGATCACACAGCACATCTGTTATTCTGCAAATTTTGCTTTTTGGGAAGCTTTTATACGAAAAGAAAAAACCTGTTTTAAGAAAAGGCACCTTCATGGTCCAGGTTATGTGTACTTACAGAGTATCCCTGGCTTGACTAGTTTGTCCAGGGTTGTGAATTCCTCTTTTCTATTACAGTGCCTTGTACAAGGTTTTCCCTTTCCTGATCCCCATTTCAATTCTGAGTCATATGAAATATTCACCTAAGAAATCAACTTCACTTTTCTCTCTATGAGACTGGGTGCGTTGGGTCACCTTACAGGGTTCCCTGTGAGTATAGGAGTAGTGTATTTACCAGTATTTTTTTTTGTAGTTCCTAGTTATCTTTCAAAGCAATTATTTGGTGTTGGGGGAGCAAGAGGGAAGGCAATGCAATTTTCAGCCAGTCTTTTCACATTTTCAATAATAATGTGATCGTCCTACACATTAGTCTTGAATTGTAAAATGAATATCAAGTAGAAACTCAAAGTGCAGTTGTATTAGTATTCATTCACACTACCTTTAATCATAAGGACAAAAAAACTCAAAAATGAAACAGCGGATTTCAGGAGAGCTTACTTTTTATCTTAGCAAGTAAATAAAAATAAACCTTTCATGGTGATAACACATTGCCAGAAGTTTTGCTGCCTCTAAGAGCCATGATTGTAATCACATTCTGTAAGGTGACAAATATACATTCCACACAGTGTGGCAGCCATCTCTTTAGGCTCATGAGTTTTAAGGAAAGGAGAAAGTACTTGCCTAAGTAGTATTTAGAACTTTCCAGAATTTCTCTGCCCTTTCATACCAGAGGCAGCTTGTCCCTGCTCAATTTTCAGTCCTAGGTAATTTGCTAAATTAATATTGTATATGTAAGAGATGGAAAGAGTATGTCAGTGTATCCTGTTGTGGTGAAGCTAGATTCCACCTTTTCAGAAAATCTTTACTAAGTAGTGTTTTTAAAATTCAGGCTTATTGGGGAAATCTGAAGTTAATCGTCTTTATGCAACTGTGTGGATGTAACATTTGGGGGATCTTCTGGAACTTCCAACTATCTATGCATTTTTCTGGTACCTCAGGATGGGAGGTTAACCTTAAATTGTACTGCCTGGTGGTCTGTGGGGTCCTCCTAATTCATTTGTACCCCAGTGTCCCATATATAGGAAAACTTCATTAGGATTGACCTTTACTTGATATAAAACCCTTCTATTAATGTTTTGGAAATAAAAGTAGCTTGAGCTTTATTTTAAAATCATGTATTTGTTGTCTTAATGAAGAATGTAATTTCAGTGCTGCTTTTAAGCTTCAGGGTGATGGGACAGCAGAAATCAAATATTTGACATCATCTGCCATAGGAAACAGCAAAAGATATGTCATGTTCTCTTTTTGTTGTTATACTGTTGGGTGGGTATAATAATTAGAAAATGAACAAACTTTTTACACACTATTTTTAATGAAGAGTCTAAATATTGCAGCTGCTTAAAGTGTATATTAATGCACTAATTTCATGTCTGTTAGCCATACAATTATATGTTTTCTCAAATGCCCATTTATATGTGGAATATGTTACTTCCAGTGTGTGTCATTTTACTGACAATGTTTTCAAAGGAAGGCATCAGCTGTGGGCTAATTGTCACCAATTTCAGCCCACTAAGATCCTTGGAAATATATCTTCCGAGTGCAATCTGTCATCAGTAGGGCAAGTGTCAGGAGTTTGTTTATTTTCTTCTGGTAGTAACGATGGGTTACATGGAGCTATCAAGCCTCCTTCTGGCATTTCTTGTGATTAATGGCTTGTGTTTATAAAATGGATAGCTGGGGTGAGCAGATGGCTAGGGAAGAATCACCTGTAGTTTAAAATATATATGGTCCCATAATGATTATGATTCCATTCTGTAATCAGTGGAGCTAGTTCCAATAAAGTTAAGCAGGTTTAAATCCATTTTGTGCCTATCTTTTCACTGACAATAAAGTTAGCTATTTTAAAATGTGGTATCGTGTGGAAAGTACTTTGGTGTTCACCCTACAGGGGCTTTATTTGTGCTATTTCAAAGAGTATTTTCAATTTAGTACTTAGTGAAATTGCCTTTCAAGGGCAGCATGCTGTAGCATTTCCATTTGATTAAATTATGCAATGTGATTATAGATTATATAGTATTAAGACAACACCATAGGCCACATTCTCTAGTTGGTCTCTTTATATACTCAGGAAGCATATATGAAATACTTTGCATCTTTTTATATCCTGGTTCCAAAGAGTAGAACAGTAGCCTCCCAAAGCAGAGAACTCATCCTTTGGTTAGCATTTTGGAAGGGCTCTTGATATTCCTTTTGTGTCCTTGTTCTTATACCAATTCACCAGTTTTTATTGAGGGAGTTTATATATATGAGTGTGTGTGTGTGTGTGTGTGTGTGTGTGTGTGTGTGTGTGTATATATATATTTGAGGAAGCTTGTTATTAAAAGCAAAGCAAAACTACAATCAAGTTGGCACTTAACTGAAAATGTTAAGGTCGCCTTTACCCTTTACTTTGTGTGCCTTTTGTTTACCAAGAGCTCCAAACTGGAGTAGTAAGGAAATGATTCCCAAGTACTTTGAAATAACACATTTTCCAGTGTAATTGGCTCAATGAGTGTTGCAAAAGGGATACGGCAGGGGCATATAATTCATTCAACTGTAAATGTGATTTGCTTATGCTGGGATTCATTCCATATTTATTATGAGTTATTTGAAAACTGTATGGATGAAATCTCACTCCTCTTTTTTGGGAACTGGAAGATAGCATTAAGTGAACCATGCATTCTTACAAAGCTTTGTAAAACATTCAGAAATATCTTGTGCCTTGTTCTAAATGAGCAGTCACTCATGGAAAGAAAAAGCAAGTGTTCTTTCAAAATGTATGACATCACATTGTAGCAACATTTCTAGATATTATCCAGTATGGTAATAACTTGATCTGGTATCTGCCTCATTTTATTTCCCTTCCTGTGGGCTTTCCCCTTGAGAGCAGTGATCCACATAAGCTTATGTGAATTATGTAGTAGGGGAAAAAAGCACTCCTGCTTCCCACCTCCTCCACCTTCATCTTCCTGTACAGGAAGGCTTTTACTGAAGGAAAAGAACGTAAATGGTCTTTAGAACACTTTGTACACTGATATTTAAATGAAGAGCCCTTGGTGACAAGACTTATTTTCCAAGAAGAAAAGCCTTCTCCATGAAACTAGGATTTTATACTACGTCACAAATACTCATTCCTCATATGTATGAAGAGACCAAGCCTACACTGTCTATTTTACTCCCCATGGTTTTTCATTTGCCAGTCCCCTCTACCAGTGAATTTAGGCATGTGCATTGCTGAGTAACTACTTACTGGATGTTACCATACTGGAAAAAGTCCTAGAACGCAATGATTTTAAAATACAGTTCATGATTCTATTTTATTAAAGAAAAGTACATGCACACACACAATTCATTGTGTATAGAAATGCCAAAAATTTGAAAAAGATGCAGAACTAGTGCAAAGAGGGATGCTACAGGGCAGTGGAGAGGAACTAACATTGGTTTTGAAGGATGTGTGGATGTTTACCTGGAGTTCATGGTGCTGCAGATGAGCATTTCATGTAGAAGGAATACACGTGCAAAGGAAATCTCACTTTGTCAGACCTGTAGTCAAATATTGAAGGCCCTAGAGAATTGCTCTGAGTTTTTTTTTTCAGCTTTAATTGAGTTTATTGGTACATTTTAGGGATACAGTACAGTTACATTCATTGTTGGGATCATGTACCTCTACATGGCAAGTCTTGATTCTCATTTTTTCCCCTTACCTCTGCCCTCCCTTCACCCCCTCCTCCCCTCCCCATCT